ATTCTTAGGGTAAATACCTAGAAGTGGAATTCCTGGGTCAAATGGTATTTCTATTTTGAGCTTTTTGAGGAACCTCCATACTGCTTTCCACAATGGTTGAACTAATTTACATTCCCACCAGCAGTGTAGGAGGGTTCCCCTTTCTCCACAACCTCGCCAACATTTGTTGTTTGTCTTTTGGATGGTGGCAGTCCTTACTGGTGTGTGGATTTCCTTCCTTTTTAAGGCTGAGTAATATTCCATCCTGTGTATAAACCACATTTTCTATATCCATCAATGGACATGTGGGTTTCATCCATCTCTTGGCTACTCTGAATAATGCTGCAATAAACATGGGAGTGTGAATATCTCTTCAAGATTCTATTTGCAATTCTTTAGGGTATATACTAACACATATACCCATAATACATGTTTAACTTTTAAGAAACTGCCAAATTGTTTTCCAAAGCAGTTGTACCATTTTACATTCCCAACAGCAGTGTATGAGAGTTCTGGTTCTCCAAATTCTTGCTAACACTTGCTATGATCAGTCTTTTTAATTTTAGCCATTCAATTAGGTGTGTGGTGGTATCTTATTGTGATTTTAACTTGTACTTCCCTAATGAGTAATGATCTTGAGCATCTTTTCATGTGCTTATTTGCCATCCATATATCTTCCTTGGTGAAGTGTCTGTTAAACTTTTTTGCTCATTTCCCACCTAGGTCTTTAATAAGTTTTATTTTTTAGAGTAGTTTCAGGTTTACAGAAAAAAATGTATAAAAATAGTACAGAGAGTTTCCAAATACTCCAATTTACGTTTCCCTATTATTATGTCTCACATTTGTCAGATGTTATAGTATGCTATGTATATAATTTGGTACATAGTGTGGTATATTGCTTACAGTTAATGAACCAATATTGATAAATTACTATTAACTAAAGTCCATATATTCAGATTTCTTTAGTTTTCACCCAAAGTCCTTTTTCTGATCCAGGATCCCATCCAGGGTACTACATTACACTGAGTCATGTCTCCTCAGGGTCCTCTTGTCTGTGACAGCTTCTCAGACTCTCCTTGTTTTTAATGACATTGGCAAGATTTGAGTAGCCAGATATTTTGTAGAATGTCCTTCGATTGGGGTTTGTCTGATGTTTTCCTCATGATTAGACTGGGGTTATGGGTTTTAGGGAGGAAGACCACAGTGCCATCATGCTGTATCAAGGGCACATGCTAGTAACATGACATATCAGGCTGACCTTGATCATCTGGCTGTAGTGGTGTTCATCAGGTTTGTCCACTGTAGAATTGCTCTTTCTCCCCCTTTCTATACTGGTTCTTCAGAAGGAAGTCACTATACACAACCCACACATAAGGGGTGGGGAGTATGCTCCACTTCTCTAAGGGCAGGGTATCTACATAAATTATTTGGAATTCTTCTGGAACTCTTCTCCCCCACTTATGTGCTTCTTTGATCATTTGTTCATATCACTATGGACTGATGGATACCTGTTTTATATCTTGGGTTATTATTCAATCTCAATTAATTTATTTTGTTGCTCAGATTGTTCTAGCTTTGGCCATTGGGAGCTCTCTCATTTGGCTCTTTTGCCCGTTTTAAAAATTGAATTGTTTGTTTTCTTATTTAAGAGATTTGATATATTCTAGATAAATGTCCTTTACCAGAAATATGATTTGCAAATATTTTATCCCAGTCTTTGGTTCCTGTTTTCAATTCCTTAACATTGTCTTCTGAAAAGGGGTTTTTAATTTTGATGGGGCTCATATTATTAATATTTTTCCTTTCTGAATCATGTCTCATCTAAGAAATCTTTGCTTTACTCATGATTATGCAAAGGTATTTTCCTATGTTTTCTTCCAGAACTTTTATAGTTTTTTGATTTTTCATTTGTGTTTAAAATCCATTTGAGTTTATTTTAAATATGATTCATGGTAAAAAGCAAAGTTCTTTTTTTGCATATAGATATTGAATTGCTACAGCCTTAGTTGTTGAAAAGACTATGCTTTCTCCTTTGAAACGGCTTGGCATCTTTGACTGAAGTCAGTTGTCTATATATGTCATGGGTCTATTTTTAGACTCTGTTTTGTGCCATTGATAGATTTCTCCATGTTTGTCAATAGCATTCTGTCTTGATCACTGTAGCTTTATAATAAATCTTGAGATGAAGTAGTCTTAGTTCTCCAACTTTGTTCTTTTTCAAACTTGTTTTGGCTATTCTAGGTCCTTTGTATTTCCATATGATTTTGAGAGTTAGCTTGTGGTTTTCTATACCAAATGGAATCATGCTGTATTTGTCTGGCCAACTAACTCTCTCATCCTCTGCGATACCACCTCAAACCTTCCCCTCTCCCTGATCAGCAGCACAGAACCTTGCCCAACTGCACAGAGAAAACCAGAGCTATTAGAGGGAAGTTCTCTCAATTTTGTGCTATCAAATATACAGACTCTCCTCTCCCTGTCCCCCTCCTTCCCAGCACATTACAGGAAGTGTCCCTCTTTCCGCCTGAAGCCCACCCCCACCTGTGCTCAGACCCTTTCCCCATCTCAAGATTCTCAAATTATCCATTACCCCCTTTCCCTTTTATATATCCAACCTCCACCTCTCAACTGGATCCTCACCAGCATCTTTTGAATCCACCCCAGTCTTGCCTAGCATAAAAAACTTGCTCTGGACCCCCTTCTCCCCACAGTCCTTGCTGCTCCTCTTCTCACTGCATGTTCCTCCCTGGGGAATCACCTGCACAGCCACCATCCTGGCTTCAGTTGCCATCCGTAGGGGGGCTCCCAAATACACACCTCCAAACCCTCATCTCTTCTCTGGGACCCAAACCCACATATCCAACTGCCCATCTGTCATCTCTCCTTGGACACCTCAAAGGCACTCCAAAACCCACATGTTACAACAGACTCACAACCTGTGCTCACCCACTCCTCCCCAGGCCCATCCCCAATGTGGGCTCCTCTCAGCAAATAGCATCAGCATCCGTTTAGTTGTACAGTCTGCCTACCTTCCCTTTTCCCCCAGTCAGTCTGGAACCAATTCTCACTTATTTTACCTTCTAAGCAGAACCTTCTACTTCTTTCTATCTCCTTCCTGGTGCAAGCCCTCAACACCTCTCCATAGCACCCTGACAGGTTTCTCCTGGGTCACCTGTGCCCTTTCCAGTGAGTGTCTACACAGCAGCCACAGTGATCTTGTCAAAGCCAGGGCGAATGCAACGCCTCCCTGACTATAAGACTCTTATGACCTCGATGAAAACCAGGAATCCTCAATGCCACCTACAAGTTCTCCCATGGTCTGGCCCTGCAGCCTCCTCGGCCCCATCTCCCCACGCAGTGCCCCCACCCCTGCTCTAGCCACACTGACCTCTCAGGCCCTCCTCATGCTCCCTTGAACCCGTGGCCTCTGCGCATGCTCTTCCCTATGTCTGAAATGCTCCTCCCCATCCCACTGACCACCCCCTGGACTGCTGGCTTGCTCTTCAGATCTCAGCGGCAATGTCACACCCTTAGGGGAGTCCTCCTGATTAAGCCCTCCCTGTTTCCCTCTGTCCTGGTACCATGTGCCTCTCTTGGCTAGAACTTGCCTTGGTTAGAACTTGAGATTATTTAGGTGGTGAGCACCTGCCCCCACACTAGACTATAAATTCCAAGAGGCCAGGAACCATCACACCTGTTTTTGTCCCCTCAGTGTCTGGTATGATGTCTGGTACATATAGACACTGAATAAATAATCCTTGAATACATGAATCAATAAATAACCAAATACTCAATATAAATTCAAGTAGATAAAGAAAGGCCATTGAAATCATTAATGTTGTTTATTAAAATAATCTGGGAAATCATTTTTTGCAAATGCCAAGCTGATACCAGGGGTTAGTAATACCATCTGTGACCCCATGCTGTTGTTTTCCTTAGATGCTGCTTACCTTAATTCTCCCTCCAAGAGAGTGATTTTCCCCCGGGTAGAAGTGTACTGCCAGATAGAAATTGCCCTTGGCAATGAGTGTCCTGAACGCAGTCAACCAAGCCTCCAAGGGGAGCAGGCCAGTCCGGAAGAATCCACACACCTTCACATGCAATGGGCTCCCAAAGGGGAAGGATGGGGTGGCCATGGACCACCTGTGTCTCCACGTGTGCAGACACCTGAATTCACATGTGAGTGGCCCGTAGAGTCGTCTGTTTTGCTGCCTGTCCCTCCATTTGAGCAGTCACCTGCATCACCACTGGCCCTATCACCATCACATTCTCCTACTGACCGGCCCCCCACATCACTTTCAGCCGGGAACATACCGCACAGCTCAACACCCAGGCTGTCACCTGTGTCACCATGGCAGCAGGCACAACTGACTGGGTCAGCACCCAGATCTGCACCCCACCGGTCATCTCTGTCACCCACGCCATCCTTGGGGCCTCCAGCTGTAGGGGCACCTCAAATGCCCCAGTGTTCTCCTTCAGCGTCACTTGCACGGCCACCTGTGGAAGAACTGGGCCCAGAACAGCCCCAAGGTACAGGATCCTCCAGGCTCCTTCATGTCTGGAGCCCTTGGCAAGCATGCAACAATATGGTAGCTGCTGCCTGTTGCTTTATAGGGGAGCGTGGTGAACTTAGCAGTTAGCTCTGGCGGCACTACCTGCTATGAGAACAGGCCACCACAAGGGGGCAGTATACCTAGCATTTGTTCATTTCTTTAGTCCTATGGTTTCTGAGGTGTGGGTCCCTGGCCAGCAGGGACAGCCTCATCTGGGAACTTAATAGAAATGAAAATTCTCAGGCCCTACCATAAGCCTGCTAACTCTGTGGGTGGGATCCAGCTATCTGTCTTTTTCTACAATCGCTCCAGGTAATTATTTTGCCTGCTCACATTTGAAAGCCTCTGTACAGGAGGGTTTTATTGTGAAAGTCCCTGAGCCCTGACAATACACACAATACACCTCAAAGAGCGGCTGGAGGACCAGTGCCAGGGCCCAAACTGTCTGTTACTGGTTCACAATGAAATGAGCACAGACTGAGAGCAAGCATTTAGAAATGTTTGTAGCAATGAGATAGTGCCATGACATCCAAGAGCTTGGTGTTTTCCTACCGATTGATTTGTATTGTATTTCACAAAACTACTGGTCCATTATGAACTGTAAATTAGACTTTTAAAAAACCAAATCTTCACTACAGAAAGTTTGAGAAGCACCATTTTAGGGGCTGCAAAGATGAACAGTTCTCAATTCCTCGTTCTCAGGAAATCTCCCCTCCAGCAGAGGGGTGACATGGATGCCAAGCTCCAAAATACAAAAAAAGAATTAATAAGAACTATATCACTAATGAGTGTTGGGGGTATTCATAAAGGTTAAGATCACTTCTCTCTGGGGGTTTAAAGAAGGCTGTTTGGAGGTGACAGATGAGTTGAAATGGGTAGGATTTTGACAGTCGTGGTTTGTGGGATAGGATGAGATGGGATAGAGAGAAAGAGCATTTCAGATTTTGGTTTTTCTTGACGTCCTGGAGCAGAGAAGGAAAGTACAAAGTACATTTGGGATGAAGGGGATACCTGTTCGGCCACTGTGAATAGGCTGGGAGAGGGCAAAGGGAGGGAGGCCCGAATGAGGGACAGAAGCCAGGTTGTAGGGTCCTCCTGGTCTGTCAGCTAGATTCCCACAGTTATGATAAACAATAGCCCAGTTCCTTTCTCTGGAATAGGTTTAATTCTTTTAATCACAAAGAGACAAAAACATCAGGACAATAAGAGTCAGAAAATTGGTCACTATTTCACATGCTCTCTTATTTCCTGTTAAATAAAAAGCATTTATTTTATATTGTTCACACCTGTGCCTAAAGGTAGCCTTCTCCAGGTGCCTGAGCCATCCTGGGCCCTGAGTCGGCCTTCCTCACTCATATCAGGGGTGGATTAGGAGGACAGACCATCCAGTGGTTCTCAGCTAGGGGCGATTTTACCCCCAGGAGGCATTTGACACTATCTGGAGACATTTTGGGTTGTCACCCAGTGGGTAACATCCAGTGGGTAGAGGCCAGGGATGCTGCTAAACACACAGCCCCCACAACAAAGGATTATCTGGCTCTTCAAGCCTGTAGTGCTGGGGTTGAGAAACCCTGTCAGAGCCTCCAGTTGAGCCTCAACAGTGACATCGCAGGCCAAGAGAGTTGGGCAGAACAGAACCTCCCCAGCGGTTGGTGTTATCAAGTCATTTAATGATGGCCATGAGGTTGCTGGGGATGAGGCTGTTGCAAAAAGTCCTAGGAAAATCCATAAACAAAGGAACCGCAAAGAGATTTGGGAGAGCCAGGGATATCCAACTGGCCCCCAAATGAAAAAAGTTCAAGTAGAATAATTTAAATATATTCTATATTATTGTTATTCACATGTATCGTGTATTTACATATTAGCCTTCATATATTATGTACCCCCCATACTCGGTGAAAATATGCCAAGAGTTTCCTTAAGAACAATGGTCATGAAATTATTAATATTTTCTATTATTAATAGAAACCAAGTGGTGGTAGGCTGGGACTCCTGTGAGGGATTTTCTTGAAAACTTTCCCCAATATGGCTGCTTTTTGTGAGGGAATTGTTGATGCTTGCTATTGCTACTTCAAAAATGGCAACTCCTTCCCCACTCATCTCACTCATGTCCCTTGTATTTTTATTTTTGGCTGTAGCTCCCCTTGCCACTTCAAATCCGAAAAGTGCCATGCCTCTGGTTAATGTGAAAGAAATTGCCAGCAAGCCTTATGCAATGTAAGTTTCTCCTTACTTGGGAACACATTCTTTTGTTTGGTGAGGGGGAGGGGGTCCAGCTAAGTGATATTTCCATCTCTTCAGCTGTTCTGGGAACACTGGGATCCTTTTCTTGTGTGTGTGATTGCAGTCCACCCCTTTACATTTCACAAACTGCCTTCCCTCTTCTTCAGTAGGGGCAGTGGGTGCAAAATGAGCCTGTTCATGCTGATAGTTTCATTCTCTCCATCTCCCTGCTGTGTACAGTGGGGAAGCCACCTTCTCGGAGTGCAGTGGGGGAATGTGTACCTCTCCCCCAATGTCTGACTCTGGTAATGTCTCAGTTCAAGAGAGCTAGCAGACATGCTACATTCCAGCCTTAGGTAGCCCCTGTGTGGTATAAATTGAGGGAGTCTATCAAAGGCCTTCCTTAATCCAGATTATTTTCATAGCATGATAAAAGGGTTTATATTCCTATGTTGCAGATTGTCCCCAGAAAATCTTTTTTATAATGCACATCACTTGTCTGGGTGGTGTAACATGCACTCCACTGTTATCTTTGCAGTCATTATGAAAGGCCAGGAGATCTGTACTTTTTTTATGTTCCCTGGGGACCATGTTGCCAGGCTCTCTTGAAGCTGGATGCCAGTTGGGTTAGCCAGTGGAAGACACCAGCAGGAGATCAGAGGGTGGGTCAAAGAGAGGGTGGGTCAAGGGTATGCTCCCCCACCCCCATGCAACCCGCCGTTGGGTAGCTCTGGCAGTGGCTGGGTTTCTCTGTGGCCACAGCTGCAGGTTTGGGAGATCAGGGCTTGGGGCAATTTTACTTTTGATGTTTCCATTCCATATCGTATCAAATATATTAAAACATACCTGCTCACATTAAGTATAATTTTAATTATAAAACTCTTTGAAAGAGTTTGCGTAATTTAATGATTTTGTGCTTGGGCATAAATTATGCATATTGTTCACATGATTTAAACCTTTTGCATTGATGTATACCTGTATAAAGGTTTAACTGAGTTTCTGTTGACTAGTTGACATGATGTTACTTAGATAAATATTCACTGATTACAAAGTAAAAGTTTGCTGGGAACTCTGCTGTTCAGCCAGGGCTGGGAACCATTGCATTTATGTGTCTGTCTACCTTCTGAGCTGGAGCAGAGCCCTGACAGTGGAGGACACAGGGAAGGTCATTAACAATCTATTTACTACATCTCTTTGCCCAGGGAGAACACTGTTGAAGACCCCAACTGGGTGAGCAAGGTATTCAAGAAGAACAAACAAAAGACAAGTGGCAGCAGAAGAGGCTTCCCAAGACATCCACGATCCAAAAAAACAGGCAGCAAAATTCAGTGAGCATTATTAATTTTTTCTTGAATTCCGTAGGAAGGAGCTGATTTGGGAACAGGAAGCAGGAAGCAGGAAGATTACAAGGGGCAGAGGGAAAATCAGTAGCAGTTGGCATTTGGAACTGGGCTTTGGAGTCAGACACACCCAACATAAAATCCCTGCGCTGCCACAATCTCACTCAGTGAGCATACTCAGGACATGTGATCTTTCTGAGCCTCTATTTCCTGATCTGTAAAATAGGGATAATACCAACTGCTAAGGTTGCTGTGAGAGTTTAATGAGGTCAATATGTAAGTCGTTCCACAGTGCAATATGTAGCACTCAATAAAATTAATAAATATTATGGTCATCTAACTCACAGAGGTTAACTAGCTACCACTCTGCTTCTGAACAGAACTATACTTAAAAAACCAAACTAGACAGTTGTGTGCTCACAGGACCCTCAACAGGTAGAGCTCTAAACTGTTGCCATGCCACACATAAAAGCCCTCAATGCAGGCCTTCTTCTTATGACTTTTTGAGTATATTATATTATCCTTGATTTAATCAACCAGCTTTTACTGAGCACCTCTCATGTGTCAAGCACTCTTTCAAGCTCTGGAGATATCAAAGATGAATTAAACTCAATCCCCAACTTTCAGGAGTTGACCCCAAAATTGAATTTTAGACCAAAAATAAGAATAAAACCTACCACTCTGCCAAACTACAAGCCCCTTATAACCAAGTCTCCATTTTTTTACTGAACCATAATATTGTTTTTAAAGATACGTGCATGTACGTATAAAAGCTAACAAATTAAAAATGCCAGCCTTAAACACAAACCAAGCCAGGTATCAGTTCACTGGACTATCAAATATTCTCTGAAAGGAGCAGACCCACACTGTTATTTAATTTGTTTCAAGCCTTTATTGATCAGAAAAATCCCTAAATCAATCTAAGCAGCATCCTTCCAGTTGCTTCTGCCTCAGGTGGCAGTCCCTGGGTAGGTGAAGGGATATATCAGACGAGGGTCAGAGGCTCACGCTGGAGGCCACGGGCCCCCTTCAGAGGCTGGGCAACAGGCACTTGGTGGGTGGTGCAAAGCAGAATGGTGGGAAAGAGCTTCTCAGGGCTGCACAGGAAATGAAGCAGTCCCACCTGTCGCTTTCTAGATTAAAGGATTGGCAGGGAGGGCGAGGACCCACCGGGCATTTGCTGGTCCCTGGGGGTCATGGGATCAGTGCAGCCAGGGATTAGGCTTGCTCTGTCCTTGGTCTCCAGCTCTAAGACTTCCCTAACTTCTGAGTGTCCATGTCTCTGTCTTCAGGAGTTCAGGGTCAAGTCTGGTCATAAGACCATTGGCAGGCCTGCAGTAGGTGGGGATGGGGGGTGGGCGGAGGCTCCCCTGGGGCTGGGAGCCAGACCCAGACTCTGATGTTTCCAGGGCCAGGCGTCGGAGCATTGGGAACAGAGCAATTCAGCCAGAGCTCCCTTAGTTGACAAACTGCTAGGAGTCAAGGTGCTTTATGAAGAAGCAGGCTGTGATGGAAACAAAACAACATTCATAAGATGTGGCGAACACTGTCGTCAGTGGGTCACACATCTGTCTGCGATTTATAGAACAGATTGCAAAACTGCCTGGAGGCGATTTATTTATCAATTGATGATCCTTAGCAAGTCCATGCAAATTCACTGTTTTCAGTTTCAAAACCAGGGTAGGGGGTAGAAAAGAGAAGCTTAAAAATGTTAGGCAGGCAAAGCAGACATCTCAAAACAACCACCCCTCCCCTCAATCTCAGTGGATTACAAAAAATACATATATATTTTTTTCTTTCCAATAGGTCTGAGAGTTGGTTGTGATAGCTCTGCTTAGGCTACAGGTTGGGCTTGAGTCTGTTCCCTGTGCCTCTCATTCCAGGGCCAGTAGTTTTGCTGGGTATGTTTTTCTCCTGGAGGATGGCTAGATATAGGCACTAGCCGTGCTTTCCTCTGCTGGCCTTTTCTCTCCTCTCCTAAGAATTCAGTGAACGTGAGTCTGGTTATGTAACTGACCTCGAAGTAAAAAGACAGACTGAGAAATTGAGAGACTGCCTACAGGCTACAGATGGAAAAGGCGGAGGTCCATCTGGCTACTTGCTGCTCAGATCCTCCCAACTGCCACCAAGTCTGTCAGACTTCCCAAATTTCCACCGCTTGAGAGCCCCTCCTTTACATTACTGTGGAATTTCCCTCTATTCTGATGTGGATGTAATGGTAATAGTTGAAATTTATATAGTAATTATTATGTCCCAGGCACTGTGGCACAAAGTAACATGCCTGAAGTCACATGGTCGGTAGGTGGTGGAGCCAGGATCTGAATCTAAGTGGTTTGTGCAGTGTCTTCATGTTGAGTGCTAAATGATACAGCCTCCCAGGAGGGAGTATTATTCCCTCCTGGGAGGCTGGAGTGAGAGCCGGAAGTCACAGGGTCTAGTGCCTGTTTCCATTTGGTCAGGGAGGGGCACCTGGAGGTACTTGGAAGCTGGAAGACATGGCAGGAGTAGGTCAGCCAGGCTTGGGTGCCATGCTAGCAAGGTTGGACTTCATCTGCGGTGCTGAAGAGTCATCACAGGGTTTAAGCCACAGAATGACACAGATTTGAAAATTATCCAAGAACCTGCAAGTTCACATCCCAGCCTTTGTCCGCAGGTCTTCCTGTAGTTTCCCAGAGAGGGCAAGTGACTTGCTCAAGGTCACACAGCAAGTGGAGGAGAGCTGGAAACTCAGGTTTTCTGATTCCCCCTTTTTGTCTCATTTCTCCTCTCATGTGATTCCTCCGCTTCTCACTTCTAGATCTGCTCCCTGTCCACTCGACTTGTCTCTGCTCTCTACTTCCGGGACAGTTTGGGTCACCTACAGGCCTCATCCCGCCCGGATCCCGGAGTACAGCTGTCCTGAGGTGTGGAACTCCCCAGGGTGACTCCAGAGACTGGACACGGCCCCGTCCTGGAATGCTGTGATGACCTCTGAGCCCCACTGGCCCAACGTCCTTCTGCCCCCACCAGCTTCTTGCTGGTCATAGTCAAGGCCAACACTAGCCCCATACAATGCCTTGTTCACTAAGAAAGCAGCACCCATTCCTGGAGAATCTGACTGCCAGTTGTCGGAAGATTGTCATAACGTACTGATTTTGTTCAAACAATTGACTGTCAGCTGCTAGAAATCTGTATGAATGACATACAAAGCTATAAAACTGTATAAATAACACATAGAAAACTGTACAAATGATATAAGTATATCTCTGGACTGCCTACCCTTTAGTATTGCAGTATATCCCTGTACCGTGCACAGCCTGCACAACTGTATTCAACACACTGGAGGCCACACCACCTCTTCCCCCTTCCTGAAAAACCAAATATTAATTGGACTTTTGTAAACCAATAATATTTGAAACACTCTTAGCAACTGCTCTGCAAATGCAATTCTCCATTTGCAAAATACCCTTGCATAATAAAGAAACCCTTTAACTGGCTTTTGGCATAGAGATTTCCAATTTCTAAGTGTCAGCTTGGCTGTAATGGGGCCTAGCTGCTTGCTCAGGGCTGTCCAGGGCGATGAAGCTTTGGGGAATGTTCTCAGTGGAAATAAGGGGAGCAGAGGGGCGGGAAGTCCAGGTAGAGACTTAGAAATGATTTGTCATTTTCCCTGTGTCCTTTTTCTAGGAAGCGATGAGCCTAGAGAGAAAACCTGGGCTGGCACGGGAGAGGACCTGAAGACCCCAGGTAGAGCCTTCTCCCCACAGCCCTCAGATGCCCTCCCCTCACTACTGAGCCTGAGTGACAGGGGTGGCACTTGCTGCTGAGCCTGCTGGTGGAGGGGGAGCACCTCCTCATTTAAACACCCCTTCCAGCCCTTCCATGCCTTGCTCTGGACAGACTGACGGACGGTGGGCAGCACAGCCTGGCACTGAGGAGCATACAGCACAGCTTCCTGACTGCTGGGCCCTGGGCCCTGGGCCCTCCTCCCAACCCCGGCCGGAGTTTGCTTCTTCGAGACAGACCCGAGCCCCTCAGATCTAGTCCACATGCAGGACTGAGCCACAAACGCACTTCCCTCCTTCCTGGTGTGTTAAAAGACACCAAGTCCGAAGGGGAGAGCTTAGTAAACATAATGTTCTTCATGTAATTGTAGATTAATGATAACAAAATTTAAAAAATAAAATAAAATAATAAAATAAAAGACACCAAGTACTAAGTTCTCCGTTCCCAGTGTATCAAAGGCTCGACATGGGGCCACGGGATTCTACCTCAGCTGCTCACTGGAATCATTTGATAGACTTGTGCTGGCGCGAGGTCTCTAAGAGCTCCGCAGGGATTATGTGCTGTGGCCATGCTGGGTGGGCTGCCCTGGACGTCCCTGAGGCCTCGTGTGGTTGTAAAGGAAATGGGAGGCCAAACATCCTTTCTTTCCCATCGCTCAGCCCGAATGGGGGCAGACTCTGCTGGCCCTGCCTCAGTGAACGTGTTCCATGAGAAAGATACCTTTAGCCTCAGTTTTCTATCCTGGCCAGAGAAGAAATTATGCCACTGCCCCCAGAACAGTAGATAACCTCCAGCCCTAGCCAGGCCCAGTAAGGAAGCCTGGGCTGCACACAGGCCTCAGCAACATTTGCTTACCAAATCATGGAACCCCAGAGGACTGGATGGAGACAGCCCTGAACTGGTCTGAGGTGCCTGAGGGAAATTTGAGCAGTGGAGGGTGGGGGCTATGGTAAGGAGGCCCTGGTGCAGCCAGCATTTAACAGAACCATGTCAGGGCCCATGAGCCCGCACAGACCCTTTTAGAAGCTTCTGCCTGGGAGAAGCTGAGTGTACCTTTGAGCCTGAGGGGAATCAAGTCAGGTGTTCTTGTACCCACTGCCTACTGCGATCCTGTGGCCCAGAGCAGTCAAGGGCAGCGCCCTCGGGGCCATGTGGTGGGAGGAGACTCTCTGGAGTGGCACCTGGACGCAGCTCCCCCCTCCTCCGCCCCTCCTCTCCTCCGGGAGTGATGCTGCAGTCCGCAGCAGGCTGTGCTCCCAGAGCCCTGAGACACGTGACCGAGGGGAGGAGGGTTTCCATCTTGCACAGCTCAGAGGAATGCTTATTCTCTGGTGTGCAGGGGAGAATGGAACGTAATTGTTGTTTTGCCTCAAAGCCTGGATTAGAGCCCAGACGCTCCTATGTTACAGTTATAAGCATCAATAAATCCCCTTATAAAGAATAGTTTCCTTCACTTTGCTTAATGTCCCTTTCCCCCATTTTGAGGTAATTGAGAAAATTTTTCTTGTTTTAGTTCCAGAGCTACCAGATAAAACACAGGACACCTTGTTAATTTGAATTTTAGATAAACATCAAATAATTATTTAGTGTAAGTATGACCCTTGCACTGTACCTATTTGTTGTATATCTGAAATTTAAATGTAACTGGGCCACCCATATTTTTGTTTGCTAAATTTGGCAACCCTGATTAGTTCCTTTCTTCCTTTTATGCCTTTTTGAAAAAAACCCAGCATTAATGGATTGTTGTTTTTTGATGTGCCAGCGACTGTGCTTTGAAACTGGGAAGCCCCACAGGTGCCAAGGTCATGGAAGAACACTTCCTGGCCCTCCAAACATGCCTATTTGAATGATACATGCAGTGCAGGCCTGCCTGTACCCAGCTAACAACCGCAATCAGCCCTTGGCCGGCCCCACTGACTCACCCAGTTAGCCTCCTGACTTCTGAGGGTGAGAAAGCAGGTTGATTATGTCCTGATGCCACTTGCCCACCTTTCAAAAGCCTTTCAAAGCAGCAGGGTCTCCCATGCATCTCGGGGCTCTTGAAAGTCTCCTCGGTGTGAATTGAGGGAGCCCCAGCCTCACACACTGTCCCACCACCCTATATTCCTGTTGACACAAAATGCCCGTAACAGTGAGGTCCATGAGCATTGTGAAGGCAGGGATGGTGGATGGTGTCTTGAACATCTGTGAATTCCACAGAGCTAGACCAGTCCTGGCACATAGTAAGTACTCAGTAAATATTGTTTGAATAGAAGTACAACTGGATTAGACAATAAGGGGCAGGGGGTGGTCACTAAAACAGGGGTTCTTGGAGCTTGATTCTATCTATAACTGCCTGTGTGACCTTAAACAAGGAACCTCCCCACTCTGAGCCTCAGTTTCCTGTCTGGCAGATGAGTATAAAAATGCTGCTCTCCCCTGCCCTCCTCAGAGCAATATGGTGAGCCTTCAAGGGTTAGGGGTTGGAGACATGGTTTGAAAAGAAGACAAGCTGTGCTCACAAAAGGGTTGCCTTCCTGAGAGAGCCACTAGAAGAACTCAAGTGTTACTTGAGGGGAAAGGAGGCCTCACTGGCTTTCGATGGAGACCACATCTTCAGCACTGGAGAACAGGCACTGGGTTCTGCTCACTTTTGTCCTGGTTCTAAGTGGCAGGGTTTGGGCATCAGAACCTAGGGACTAATAAGACAGGTGATGTAGAATCAGGAGTGGCCCAGATTTTCCCAGACATAAAATTAACTGTCACCTTAAGAGTCACAGTCATAGGATGTCAGGTCTGGAGGGCAAGGATCTTGTCCCCAAGGTCATCAGTGAGCAGCTGGACTAAAACCCAGGTCTCCTGATGCCTACCTACCACAGGGCACTTTTTTACTGCTGTAGCAAGTTGACACCCCAAGGACTGGACACCTGGAGAGCATCCAGGAAGGGACAAAGAGGCTGACGCTCCCAGCCTTACGCGCACCAGACTAGCCTAAATGTGGCAAGTAGGCCCCCGTTTTGTCACCATTTATGAATAATCCAGGCTAGACCTTGTGCTAGTCAATTTCTTTATTTGCTCAAATAACACTGTACAAAAATGAGACTCAGACGCCAGCATCAGGAACTCATACCAAATACTCATAAAGCTAAAAAAATATCATTCCAAATAAGAAACTACACACAGAAGGTTCCTGACCCTCATTTCAACACTTATTCTGATCCTTCACATTTTGGTGGTGTGGTTCCTGAACACTCCCTGAAAGAAATCCATAAACAGCTCACCTCACCTCCATTTCTAAGAAGCAGCAATAAAGTTTAATAATGTTCAGTGTATGCTGTGTTGAACTTCCTAAAGCCTTGCCTTAGTTTTGGGATCAGTCCCAACTAAGTGCCCAAGGCCTCTTTGCCCTTGATTTCTCCCCTTCCCCATGGAGCTCCCACAGGTTCAGCACAGCAATACAGTGTCTACCAAGGGTGACAAGAATGAGTTTTAACACCCTCTCCTCTCTGACTTTGTGTTCCAGGCAATGTCCAAGGGCATGTTCGTAGCCCATATAGATAATAAACATGTGGCAAATTGTCCATCTGAGCCAAGCTGTTTAAACTGTTCAGCTGTATAGAAGAGGGGTGTCTAGCAGTCCACACTTCACCTCTGTGCAAAAACAAAAAGGACCCTCTCTCTTTTTCAAGAAACTTGACTGCTGTCAGCTGAGAAATTATCATAAATCTACAAATCTACAATGTCTAGGAAGTGAATAGCACTTCCTGGGGTATGGTCCTCTTGAGCAGTGCATACCTGTGCAGTCATCCATGGTGATCCAGCTTAAAGCCCTCCCCAACGTCCTGAAAACTACCCAAATTATAGCTATAGTACGAATAATGACATGTATAGACAGTGTAATTTTCAAAACTCTTCACATTCATTTTCTCACTGACTCTTGCCATGTGCCTATGAGATGGGAGAGGTGCAAGACATCAGCTTTGTTTCTCTGGCCATAGAATCATAGAATACAAGGTTGGAAGGATTCTGAGAAACCAAGAATCCCCAGTCCATAGGTTTCCCCTCTCTGGGGCCTACAGAGTTCCTGGGAGGTCTGTACAAATCCACATGGACAAGCTCTGTTAGTCAACTGAATGAAGTATGTGTTGTGCATGGGGGCACCTCTGTTTAAAGTGCATGTGGATATTCAGGTGAGAGAGCAAATAAAAATTTATTTTCAGAACTAAGACTTGTTTAAAGCTAACATCTAAAAAATATCAGCAGGTCTTCTATACAACAGTGGGCATATTTTAGCCTCTGTGAATCAAGGAAACACATGATTTAAAAAAAGAGGCACATAGCACTAGGTTTGGCCCCAGATTGCAAAGACCTTAACTCTGGCTGGGTTCAATGCTCAGGCCCAGTGCCTGTTGAGGTAGCTCCCCCATTTCTTCCCTAACTCCAAACTTAGAACCACTGGTTACATAATTCCAGTTGAGGCCCAAGGCCTCCCAGGGAATGCCAGGCAGAACTGCCTGGATCTCAGTGCTTCCCTTCCCTTCCCTTCCCCTTCCTTCCTTCCTCCCTCCCTCCCTGTGTAAGTACTTTAAGAATCCAGCTCAGTGGGGTGTATGGAGCCACAGCATGAAAACGCTCACTACCTCTCTTTAGGTATTTCAGCATAAGGGAGTCAGAAAGAATCCAATGGGCCACCTAGTCTAGCCCAGAATCCAAGGTCTGGAGAGGTGAGGGGACATGTAGAGGGTCTTGTCACAACTTTGGGGCAGGTCAGTGGGTAAACCCTCCTCTCCAAACTCCCAGTCCAGTGCTTATTGCCCCCAATACAGCCTCTGCCTCCAGCTTTGTGGAAGAATGTTTTGTGCATCTCAGTCTCAATAAAGCCACAATGGTGCATGGATGCAGATGGCCGTCCACTCTTCAGTCTTGTCTGTGAAGCACTGGATTGAGACATCATGAAGCATCCTCAGGGTCTTCTGGTTAAAGTTGCCAATTGTTTGACTTATTCAAGGAAACTTGAGTGCAAAGTGCAGCTTTTAATCTGGACTTTGGCTATTATGACTTGTGATGTTCTGGGAAGATCAAAAAAAAAAATATATAGGTTTTAGCCATAGCCCAGTTATCTATGGGCCCCACTCAGATGACAGCCGACTTCTCATTAAGCCGCCGACACACCGCACCAGCTCCCACCTGTGCGCCTTTGCTCACACAGTACCATCCTCCCTGCAGGGTTCTCCTGGTCCTTTCTCCCCATCTACAATCAATGCCTGTCACCTCCTGGAAGTCTCACAGGCCAACTTGCTTCATGACCTCAGTTACCACTGATTTGGCAATTAATTAATATTTAATTCTGTTATCAGTAAACATTCTGTCTTTTCTACTAGGAGAACCTTCCATAGGTCCTTACAGCACCTTGCACAGCTAGGCACATAGGAGGGTCTCAATACCTATTGGTTGAATGAATAAGTAAGTGAATAAATGAATGAATGAGTAGTTTTAAAGCCAGAAAATGGAGTTAGGGCTACTGAGGCTGTCAGAGCTGAAGTTTCTATGGTATCTTTCACAAAGAACCCACATCACTCCATAAGCTGTTACCTTATCCATCCTAGAGAGCAAATTATCCCTAATATCCCCACTCTCCAGGAGAAGACCTACTAAGAAAAGAGAGGTCTAAGGTCATGAGAAGTTCCTACTAGGAAAACAAGCCAATGTAGAGTGAGTACTGGAAAGACAGGGGACAGGTGTCATGGAATAAGACTGCTTTCCCGAGAGACTTATCACACAGCTTCTGTAGGTAATTCCATAATTCTCTAGGTAATAGGAAGAGAGAGTGCTGGGGGATGGTGACATCATTGTATAACGGTTGGTTTCCCAGGGGACCATTTGGATGCAGAAATTCTGGTCTCCTCTTTCCACTAACAAACCTAATATTTCATTCTTTTAAAGTCACACCTACATTCAGTAGCTTCTGCGCTAAAGACAGTCCAATGTCTGTAAGTAGGTTATCTTAAGTGAATTTGAAAAAGGTGGAGAAAACTGTTTATTAGAGTCCCCCAGAAAATATATGAATACTAAGATCTTTAAAAAAAAACAGAGATATCTATTATTTCTAAAGGGAACATCTCAGAGCCTTAGGGGAGGAGGATTGTTAGGAAAAGCAGGAAGCAAATCAGGAGAGTCTACATGATCAGGAGAGGCTGTGCCTAACCAGCCAAGGCAGGGTCTGCGAAGGAGCAGCTCTGGGAGGCTTCCAGGACCCAAACAGCCATCGATCCTTCCCATCTACCTCACCCACCCCTTATCTGATATGTAATCTTTGTTTGGTTATTTAAACAGTATGACAGTCTTGAATTGGGAGACCAAGCAGCAGAACTCGTGAAATAAGAAGTGAGCTGAGACACTGATATTGTCTTATCCAAAGCTCCATAGTGATATCAAAAGCATGAAAATGCATATATAATTAGAGACCAGAGCCAAATAGAGAAGATGCTAATTATGAAGTAAGGCCAGTGAGGGTTTTGGAAAAGCGCAGGGTCAACTATGGGTATACAATTGTCTTTGAAGGCCTCAGCAAGTAGGGAGCATTTGAGCTGGATCCCCAAAGTCCCAACCTAATCAGGGGAGGGGAGAGGGCAGTAAGCACATCCTGTGGTCACTCATGCTGCATTGCCCCTTCTCACCGGCTGGGCTTCTCCGTAGGGGAACTGGGAGTAACTGCGGCGGCTGTAGCGGCGTCCCATGAGGCTGAGGACGGCGTGCCTGTTGCTGCCTGCGAATTTGTTAGCCAGCTCAAAGGCAAACTGGTAGCGTCTCTCAGCAGAGCTTCTGTGCGGTTCAGTGGAGTGGGCCTCCGGGCTGCACAGGGTGGCTGCCAGCTTTCTGAGGGAAGAGTCTGAGAGCTTGTAGAAAAACCTCTTAAAGCTGGGGTGCCGCCTGATCTAGAAGCAGAAAAGATGACAAGCTGTCAGTGTTACCCGCAGGTAATCTCCTCCAGCCAGCTGCCCCTCCCCTAGCTCTGTGCTGCCAGGGGGTACCCCATTGTCCCTGGGACGAGCTCCCACAGCCTCAGAATCTGTTCTGCAAAGGTCAGCTCCAAGCAGCGGGACAAAGTGAAAAAATAGTGCAAGTCTTTGGACTCAGATAACGGATGTTTAAATTGCCTTTACCAGCTGGGTGACTTCTCTGAGCCTCTGTTTGGTCATGTGTAAAATGGGAATAATAATACTCCCCCATTGTTGTTGCAGGGAGGGGATTAAGTGAACAGTTTACATGAAATGTTTCATGCTTAGCACATGTTGGATGAATTTTAGTTCCTACCCTAAGCCTCCTCCTCTTAATGCCTAAATGTCTTAGGCTGGGTTGCCCCAGAGACAAGGGGGCTCGAGTGCAGGTAGTTTATGTGGTCAGTGATCCTGGGAAACTCTGATGGTGGGATGGAGACCTGGGACAAGGATGGGAAGGCAGCCCACACCCAGTTAAGAGTTATGGGAGTCTAATCCACACAATGCCTTAGGGGAGCCAATGTAGAACGTTCCTCAGAGTTATCCCCCGAGGGGGCCAGGGAGTTGGGGTATGTATATACCAGCTCCCATCAGCTGGTGATTGGGGGCTCCTCCCGGGAAGGTGGAGAGTGTTCATTCTGACCTATCACATGAGTGGTAAAGTGGCTCTAGGGGCCAGTCTCAGGCCAAAGGATACCAGTGCTGGCAGAAGGGAGTGGGGCCAGCGTGTACTGTAGTGGTAAGTGAGTCACCCACAGCATCCACTGCTCTGATTACTTATCTGTGACCTGCGATCATATCTGACACCTCCTCAGATGCAATCCGTGTTTGTCTCTCCAGGTAAACTGTAAGTTTTTCAAAGGCAGGGAACCTTCTGCTACATGCTATCTAACAGAGGAGGAAAATTCTAAAAGTTTGAAACAATTGGAGACTGTACAAATGCTGATGCATGTGCCAAGACAGAGTGGAAAGGAAGATAGCAGAAATCCAGATCCATGGGCCTGGCAGGCCGGACTTGGCGAAGGAGACATCCAGGGAGGAGGGGCATGAGCTGAACTTCAAGAATAAGTTGGATGGGGAGGTCCTAGCGGGCAGGAGCAGCCACGGGAGCATTACATTATTGTAAACTAACATTTGTCTCATCTGCTCTGTGTCTGGCAGTTTCTGTATATGTATGAAACTTTGTCAGGTAAGTATTTAATCGCTATTTTGCAAAAGAGGAAATTGAGACTCAAGACAGGTTAAGGGATATGCCCAAGGTTGCCCAGATACAGAGATAGGGATTGAACTCAGATCTCGGTTGTGGGTTGCCGAGGCCCCCAGGTTTGGCCCTGGGGGGACTGAGCAGTCCTCACCTGCTCTCCCACCTGGCCGTCTACTTCTTGCAGAAGGGCCACCAGCCTCTGGATGATTGGCTCCTCTAAGGAAAACAAAGATTGAGGGGCTGTTGACAAGTTCTGCAATAACACATCCATTGATTACAAACAGTATTTTGTCTCTAAAATATGGCACACAGCTTAGTTATGAAGGGTAAAGAAAAATCTCCCCCTAAACTAAGGCTCGAGTATGAGAGCTTTGTTTGAGTTTGCTTTATGGAAAAAGAAGGGATTTGGGCCAGCTGAGCCTCACCTCAGGTCCATTTGACAGAGGGAAAACTGAGACCTCCCGATGACTCTTACCCTGGGTGCAGGGTAGCATGGTCAGGAATGGGAGTCGGGACCAGGAGCAGCTAATCAGAATCCAGGGGTGAGGGGGGGGGGGCAAAGCCAGGGCTACTGATGGAGCAGGAATGCACCCATTGGCCTGCCTATAAACAGCAGAGTGCAGGTAGCCACTGACACCAAGAGTTAATTGTAAATATTCAGGAAATTTGTGGACCCATTGTTATTAACCGTTGGCAGCTTAAAATCAGGTTTCCCCCCAACATCTACCTTCAGCCTGTTTGCCAGCACACCACTGGTTATGAGACCCAGAGCAAGCGAGGAATTTTATATGAAATATTCAAGCAAACCAGTGAGGTGGGGTGGGGTGGGGTGGGGCGAAGTTACCTCCCACAGAATAGCCAGGTGTTCTCCACCTGAAGAAGATGCTCTACCTGGAACTCTGCTCCAACAGCCCCAGGTGAAAGGCTAGCTCTGCCTCCTCCCTTCTCTGTAGAATCTCCTTGGACAGGGAATTTGTCCCCCACCTCCCCAATGCCCCACTCAGATTCAGCCTGTGAAATCCATGCAAAAGTAAAGCCCCAGGGCAGCTGTCCCAGATGAGAGCAGGGTGGTACTAACTAGATTCACACGCTCCTCCTGCCTGAGGTCGCCCTTCTGGCTTGTGGCTCCTGGCCTGGGAGGGTGCTTCTGAGGATCCAGCCAGTTCCCCTTCTGCCGGCAAGGACCCCTGGAACTCTGGGCTGTCCAGATCTGAAGGCAAAAAGGAGGCAGAGTGAGTGTGTTTTGCACCTGTCTTAGATCCACAAACACATCACGGAATCCAGCTTTTGACAAGAAGCTGTCCCCGAAGGCACTGGCACCAGAGGGGTCCTGGTCTCCCAGGCTCCATGAGCCCGCAGTCTTCCTGGACCAGCCTCAGAGGACTCCACTTTGCCTCCCTCCAGAAATCTCCTCCACCAACCCCCTGCCTCCTCACTGGATGGGAGGGGGATAAGTTCCCACCAAGTGAGCCCACTTCCCCTCTAACTCTGTGAGGCTTAGCCTACCTGAACCTTACTTTCTCCATCTGTCAAATGGGTGTAGTAAGTCTGATCTCATAGGATGGTGAGCAGGTGAGTGAGATAATATGTGTGCAAGTGGCATAGAGTAGGCACTCCAAAAGCATCACTTGCATCATTGTATACCAGTGGTCCTCCCAATTCAGAGCAGTAAAAATGCCTGGGCCGTAGCCTACCTCATCAAACCTGGGTCTCTGTTTCTCTACTAGCTTTTCAGATGATTCTGATGCACTTCTCTGATGAACAGAGGCGCTGCTCTCATACTGCATTTGTTTTTAAGGTTTATGGATATATGTGGGGAAGGCGGGTATTGTGGCTGGTGGATCCTGCTGGCAAGCAGCCCCTCTCCCCTCTCCACAGCCCTCCACACCTCCCACCCTGCTCAGAGCAGAGAGAGAAAGTCAAGACTGAAGGAGAGGCCACAGAGCTGACCAACCCTGCCCTGGAGGAAGCCTAGGGCGGGAGGCAGCCTCTGTTACCATGACAACTGGGCCTGCTCACCAGGAGGTGAGATGGAGGACCGATGGCCCCCGACACACAGGGGCCGAAAGTTGGGCTTCTTGAGTGGCCGGGCTTCCGGGCTGGTGGCATCTGCTGCCCCTGCTCTCTTGGGCTCTTTCGAACCATATTTCTTAAGCGAAAAAGCTTTTCTGAAGCTGGGCTTTTTCTCGTGGGATTTCTTCCTGTACGCTGGAGCCAGGTTTTCTACAGCCACTTCTGGCTCCTGGACTTGAAATTGCTGTGGGGGAGATGAGAGAAACTGAGTCAGGGCCCCGACTTTGAGGATTTGCAAGTGAGCTAGGGAAAGAGATTAGCATCTCCTGAAACCCACTGTGAACCAGAGGGTACAGCCTGGAGAGAAGGGCAATGGATGCTCAGAGCTGGGGAAACAAGTGCAGCCTACAGTGGCCAGAGGAGGTTTCAGGATGGAGGAGGGACTGGAGCCGGGCTTTGGAAGGATGTCGAACGGGGAGCGGCAGGGAAGTTACTATGCCAGGTGGGGGTGGGGGGATTCCACAGTGAGGATCAGTCTCTATACCTGCAATGTCTTGCTCACCTTGTCTCCCTCCTGCTCCTCGGCATCTTGGAGTAGGGTGATGATTGTCTCGATGAATTCTTCTGAAAAAGAACAAAGTGGTGGCTACACTTCAGTGTAAAAAGGCTGAGAAAGACTTTTCTAAGGCCCAAGTGGCTCTCTGGGTGATTCTCCCAGGCAATAGTCCAGGGTGCCAATGAGCTTGCACTGGGCGTCCCAGGCCCCGCCATGAAGTGACTTGTCCAAATCCACAGCCCATATTCAAATCCAGGCTCTCAGAATCACACCACCCACCAAGCCCTTGCCGCAGGCCAATGTTTTCCTTGAATCGTTGCATGTAGGCCCCACCAAGGAGCTGAGGCTGGAGCAGGGAACGTGACCCCAGCCTGGCTCCGGGCCTATGCTTTGGCCCCCATGCTGCCTCTGCAGCCTGCCACCTCAGAGGGTGGTAAAGACAGGTCACTGCCTCTCTCTGGTTCACTTTCTCTTCTGCAAGTGGCCAGACGTTTTACCAGGGCCTCTGAGAAAAGGAGAGGGACTACTAACTGAATTCTGAGGCTCTGTCCAGCTGCAAGTCCTCTTCCTGTCCCCGACTTCCTGCTTGGGAAGAAAGCTCAGAGGGACTTGGACCCCCACCATCTGTAGAAAGGGCCTCTTGGACTTCAGGTTCCTCTGCACCTGAGAAGCAAGAGGAAATGATGGGTGTGTTTTGTCACCTGAGAGTGTTAACTATGCACAGGAGTCAACAGGGACTCCAAAGTGTGACCCGTGGCCAGATCATGCAAAGGCTTTTCTGGGGTGAAGGTGAGCAACTGGGCAGGGCCATGCCTCTCATGCCCTGGTCCAGACACACCTCCCTGATCCTTTTGAACTTCCATACAACTTCCCTGGACTTCGCTCCCCTCTCCTCCCTCCCCTGAGGACCTCATCCCCCTACCCCGCCACCCCGCATCTTTGCTTGGTGTACAGAGGTGGAGAGTAATGCCTGCTTCCATGGCCAGACTCCGCCTGCATGAAATTATCTCCCTCTGTGGCCTGAAATTCCAGCACTGGGATTCACTCTTCGGTGTTAAGCATTGAACAATTCCTTTTTAAAATGCATGTTCCCCCGACTAGGATGCCCTGTTAAACTGTTCCTCCCTGACACCCAGGGTGACCCTTTCTCCCTGTAGCTCTGGTACCATCATTGATGGGCCACGTGACCTTAAACACATTGTTTTTCTTCCCTAAGCCTCTGTTTACTCATCTGTAAAATGGGGACAATAACGTGTAGTCATAAACTGGCTGTGAGAACTGACTGAGCATGGATACGCATAGGGAAGTGTCTTATTTCATAAGTGAAGAGATTGCAGCACAGAGATGGGGGATGACATAGACAGTACAGCTCAGAACCCAGGTGTTCTGCCTCCCAGGCTCCAGTTCCTACCTGCATGTGCCACCCCTCTTCAAGGGTGTGGAAGCTGAGCCTGTGGAAAGAGGATTGTTGGGGTTCCCTGAAGAGCATTTGCACCGGGGACTTAGCTGAGCTGCCTAAGTGGCAAGGTTTCATGTGTGGAGGTGACCTGCTGGCATCCCTTTTCTCTTCCCCACAGGCCTCCTCACCCCACTAAAGGCAGAGCAAAAGCCAGAACTGGGATGGCAGCCTTTCAAATGGCCCATTCCAGCCCGAAAGAAGGTTTTAGACCTGGAGGCAGCAGCAGCGTTGCTATGGAAACTGTGAGCCTGCTCACCAGGGCTGCTAGAGATGGAGGGGCGATGGCCCCCAACACATAGGGGCAGGAAGCTGGGTCTCTTGGGTGGCCGGGACTTCGGGCTGGAAACATCTGTAGCCCCTGCTCTCTTGGGCTCCTCGGAGCTATGTTTCTTATAAGAAAATGTCCTCTTGAGACTAGACTTTTTATCTTGGGATTTCTTCCTGTAGGCTGGTGCCGGGTTTTGTGGAGCCAGCTTTAGTCCCTGTGGCAGAAGGGCTTGAAGCTGCAGTGGGAGATGAGAGAAACTGAGTCAGGGCCCTAACCGTGAGAAGAGGGGAAAGCTCCTCAAGAAGCAACTAAAGGGCAACAGGTGGTTCAGGCGGCCCCAGGGGACGGAGGTGACAGAGCCCAGAGCAGGGGAAGCTGGGGCTGGAAAGACAGGTGGGACTTGAGGAGAAGGAGAGGGAGAGGGAACAAGTGCCCAGGGGTGCTACACAGACTCTGCTCCTCACCTCTTCTTCCCACTGGTCTCCCACTTTCTGGAGCAATCCCACTATCATCTGGAGTATAGTATCCTCTAAAAGAAAGCAAATGCTCCTGGTTAATCTTTCTAGAGGCACAGAGAACTCTTTCTGGTGACTGTTGTACTTCTGAGACCAGCTGGGGCCTTCTGTATTAAGTGAGTGCCCTCTTGAAACAGTTCTTTAGCCCCAGAAGTGGGGAAAGCACCACAGTCCAGGGGCTGGTCCTTTGGCAAGATCCACAGGGGAAGGTACTAGGCCACGGCATAAAATTGTATGCAAGAAACTTCAGGTCAATCCTTTAAGTATTCAACCTGTGCCCCACTATATCCTTTGAACTTTACAGATCTGTAAATGTCTGCTTTGGGTTCAGCAAGCTGTGTGACCTCGGGTAAGTCTCTTAACCTCTCTGGGCCTTCATCTCTTCCCCATGAACTGTGGGGTCTTAATCTCTATCCCACTTCCCTCAGAAGGCTGTCAGGCCATCAGATGAGGATCTGTGCTTGGAAATACTTTGCAAAGCTAATGCTGATCTAACCTGCAAAAGTCCAGCAGAGGAAACAGTGGAGACCCAGCCTAACTATGAAGGACTCCAGCAGGCTGGACGGAGACCACCTGCCACATTGACGCCTCAATCACATTACCGGGTCTTTACAGAGAAGCCTCAAACCACATAAATGGTTTTCTTTGATACCTCAGTCAACCAGTCCAAAGACAATGTACTCAGCGTGGCCTCTGGTAGTCACCAAATGATCAGGTTACACGAAAGGGGGTACAAACAAAATTCCCTGTTCCCAAGCTGTCTGCAGATTTTTTCACCCCTCGCTATCCTCCCTCGCTTCACTCTCATTTATAAATCCTGTTTGGCTTTTCCCCCCTGACTCAGTCTACCTCTCACATGAAGAAACAATTAGCAAGTAAAATAAAAATCCCCCCAAAAAACAATTAAATGCCTTTTGGTTATTCTTTGACACACACAGAGCTCTTCCATTTCACATCTTTTAAAATAAGCCCATTCTTCATAGGGAATTGGATTAATACAGCACGATTGATTTTAGTAGAAGCAATAACAGTATGGGTTGTGTGTGATTGTCCTTATTTCTTGGAGACACATGCTTAAGTACTTTAGGATGAAGCGTCATTTTACTTAAAATGATTCAGCCACAAAATTATACACACACACACAAATGAAGGGAATATGGCCAGCTATTAACAACTGTGAGCATATGAGTGTGCAAAAAACTGTTCTTTCCATTCTTCTATATATTTAAATATATATAGAATATATATATATATATATATAT